CATAATGTTACACACGTCAATATTGATATGTTTTAAATCCTATGTTAAGGTTATGAACAGAGGTGGGAGAAGTACTCAGATCTTGTACTTAAGTCGAAGTACCAGATTGTAGGAATACTCTGTTACAGTCTGCAGGTCTCCCTTGAAAAAGAGATCTATGATCTCAATGGGACCAATCTGGTTAAATAAAGGTTTGAAATGAAATGAAACAGTAAAAGTCCCGAAATAAATATGTTACTAAAGTAAAAGTAGAAAAGTATTAGCATCTAAATATAGTTAAAGTAGCGACAGTAAAAGTAGTGATTGTGCAGATTGGTCCATTTCAGAATAATATATATGATATGTTTTATAATGATTGATCATGAAAGTGTTCTCAAAGCTGGTAAAGGTGCAGCTCGTTTGAATGACTTTGTATACTGCAGGGTAGCTTGTGAATTTACTCCAGGTGGAACTAAAGTCTGATTTAACACTTGGTTAGATTTCACATCATTCATCCACATCTGTAAAGTAACTAAAGGTATTCAATACATGTAGTGGAGGAAAAGTACACCATGTACCTCTGAATTGTAGGAGTAGAAGTACAAAGTAGCAAAATATTTAAATACTCAAGTAATGTACAAGTATCTCAACATTTTACCTAAATATACTATTTGAGTAAATGTACTTAGTTACTTTCTACCACTGTCAAAAATGTACTTAGTGGGGGGGTTCGGATCCTTGTCAGCTTTTTCATACCTGATGGGTTTGCATCCCTGAATATAATGTTTTTTCCGGTTGCCCTTCCATATTCCATAGTGTCTTACAGCCTCCTTAGGAAGCTCTGCTGTAGGATTGTTTCTGATTGGTCCTAATACTTTGACTCTCCTTCAGGAGGATCTGTCCAATCAGAGGCGTCGCTGTGAGGAGTTGGGGAAGCAGAACGCCCTCCTGCACCAGCAGATGGGTGAGATGGCCACCAGGAGTCGTGGGCTGCAGACCCCCCGGCAGCAGCTCGACCTGTCCTTCAGTGAGGAGGGGAAGACCACCGAGCAGATCCTGGAAATACTCAGGTAATGCAGCAACAGCACTGTTGGAAGGACTCTAGGCTGATAACACTGGAAACACTTTACAATCTCCATTATCAATCCTAATGTCGTAGTGTGAGCTCATTAGGGACCGGTTTACACCCGGGATAAAACAGGCCCCGGGGCCCAATTAGGTTTAATTGCATTACTAATGACCCTCCGGTTAGATTGAATAATTAATATAATATTGAGAATTAATAATGTATATTTTTTCTGTTAACTGTATCATAGAAGTTATTCATCTTTTTCCCCTTCTTTTTTGGATTGTTAATTAATGCATTTAGTTTCACTGCATTTTATTTTGTTGCGTATGAGCAGTCCTTAAAATGCGGAAAAAAATTTAATTACTGGTCCTGCTCTTGCTATTGGAGACATTTAAGGGAAAATAGTTCCTATTTTATTACGCTTTATAAACCTTCTTGTACATTTGATCTCTTTTATTGAAAAAAAACACAAGAAAAACACACAATGAAAGTACAGCCAACATACTGGTTTGAAAGTCTTAAAGACACACTTCCACCTCTAGATCTGCTTTTGGATGGAGTTTGAAGCGAGTGTGTCTTGCAGGTTTGTTCGGCGTGATAAAGAGATCGCTATGGCTCAGTGTGAGGCGTCTGATGAAGAAGCTCAGCGCTATAAACAGCGAGTGGAACACCAGGACAGAGAACTGAAGGAGCTGCAGGAGGCTCTGAACTCTGAGAGGGAGAAGATGCAGGTATGAAGGGGCTGAGGGATGGAAAACGACAGAGCATGTTGGGGGCTCATTGGTCATCTTACCTGTAAATGATGAGAACAACATGAAAATGACATTACATTACATTAAGCAGACGCTTTTATCCAAAACAATCTACAATGAGTGCATTCAACCGTAAGGATACAAACTCAAAAAGCACAAGTCCTGTAAGTACATTAGCCTTCAATTGGCATTGGCATAAGCCACACAGAAGTATTATTTTATTACTAGCACCATCTCAAGAATAAAGACCTGAGAACTGTCACAACTGAAGATAATGTGGATTTATAAGCCACAAGGACTCACTGTTTTACCGAGAAAGTATATGTATATAGAATTTGTAATAAACGTTTTAAACAACTATTTAATACAGTCCCTGTTCAATTGCCAATGAAGCGTATGATGGGATATTCAGTTTGAGTGTAAGGAGATTATGAGGAGACAGACAAATCTCAAAATGGTTACAGAATAGTTTCCTCGACCAAAATTGCCCCGAGAATATTTCCGATAAAATATTTACAAGTTGCCATTATTTTAAATGTTTGATTGAAGGGCTCTTTCAGGCTGTTTGAGGACGCTTTGCCTTTTAACTTATGTACTAATTTTAGGCTAAGAAAAGGGCAAACGTGGCTTGAGAGAATGTTGTTTATTCAAATGTTCTGTCTGTTTGCCTGCCTCCCCGGCTCAGGTTACAGCCAAGACTCTGGCCCAGCAGGAGGAGCAGCTGAAGAAGATGGAGACCATCAGTGCTCTCCAGGAAACCGTCAGGATGCTGAACGCAGAGAAGGACAAACTGGAACAAGAGATGCAGCAGGCGCAGGCTAAAGTAAGACTCGAGTGTTGCACTTCATATAATTGTCAGCTGGGACTCATTTACATTTTTCATGACGTTTGTCCCTTCAATCAGAACACACGTCTTCCCATTTTATGTACTCGCGTTGGATTGTTTTTGGGGCTTCACAATTTGCCAAAAAAGACTTATTGCGTTTTTTGTTTTTTTTACCTGAACTGCATTTGCGATAAGATTCACGATAATAGAGGGAATGGGATTTTCCAAAACATTATTCACATTATCATTGAAAAATATATTAAAATGATCATGGTGGGATTTTCCTTTTTCCAGAGAGCCTGTACCAAACAAGGCAATTTACTTAAGTCTGTAGAATAACGTTTTATAGAAAACAGCGGCACCACGAGACTTATAGACATTTTCAAATGTTTTGACTTTAGAACATATTGTGCTTTCTGCGATTTGGTTATATCAAATGTCAATGAGTTGTTCAGCCCAAGTTGCAACTTGAAAAGGAAGGGCTAATGGCCTTTAAGAATCTGCATTATATCGCTCTCATGGTAGAAAAGTGAAAAACCGAGCTAGGAGGAATACAGGAATGATGGTGTAAGAAAGAACAAACTCGTATAATGCTGCTTATATTAACATTATATTTATCCTCTGTTAAAGCAGGGGGACCTTATCATTTATGATTAGGGTTGCAAAGGGGCGGAACATTTCCGGAAAGTTTCCGGAAAGGCTCCATGGGAAGTTAAGCAGGGGAATTTTGGAAATATTCGATGCAAATTTAAACAAAAAACTTGACATTTCAACAGATTTATAAAAAAGAAAAATTATTTTATTGGACAATTGTTTTAACCCTTTCAGTCAACGGGCTCTTCCTGGGCCTCATCAACATCCAACTCTTCCTCTTCCTTAGGTTTGCCCCAATGCCAACCAGTTTTCCACTCTCACATTTGTGAGCCTGTTGCGAACCTTTGTGTGGTCTCAATAGCCATGCAGTGTGCTATGGCATGGATATTCAAGTGTACTTGAATGGCATCTGTTTGTTTTAGTCAAGATTATGCTAAAATATACTTTCCCCAACTATATTTAAGTTCCCTATGAAGAGCCAACCTTCAATTTTGAAAATTCCCAGTTTATTCCCATAAATTCCCGTTAATTCCCATGGAAAGTTTCCATCTTTGAAAATTCCCGGAATTTTGCAACCCTATTTATGATTACTATATTTATGATGGTTTGGGATATTCTCTTAAAAAGACGTGTCCTATCTATGATTCAATACAAATATTGTTTCTTAACAAAACATAGGTCAAAGTGATTCCAGTGGGTCTCGTTACCGTTTTAAGCATATCGTGATGATTTTTAGGATAATATTGTGAATTGCAAACATTTTAGCCAGTGACCAAGTGAATATTGAACTGTCTGTTTTTATCATTGTGTATCTGTGTCAGGTTAAGAAGCTGCAGTCAGACATCAGCCCGCTGCACCAGTCTCTGTCTCTGCTGTCGGAGAAGAACGGCTCCATGCAGGCCGACAAGAGGATCCTGGAGGAGGACCTCAAACGCTGGAAGGCCAAAACCCAGGTAACTAATGTGTGTGTGAACATCAACAAGGAGCAGCAACACTGTGTTTACCTGCATCTTATCATACAATATTTGTCACACATGACACACCCACATCTGTTATTTACTTGCCATGTATATTAATTATGATGTAACGGATACATTCTAGTGTTTTGTCATCCAGTTATTTTTATGATCAAAAATCTTTTTACTAAGTTTCTACTTACTAACTTGACATCTTATACATCTTACAATATGCTATCATTTAGCAATGGAGAGCAAAGTTTCAGCTTATACAAATCAGACAAGATCTGAAACTTTTATGTATCAATTATATGTTCAAAGAGAAAGAACGAAAAACAAATATAAATAAGAATAAAAAGCAATAACAATGACTAAAGTAATCCCCCCTAGAGTCGTTGATTTATTTTGAATGGAGCTAGATTTTTAAAGATGTATCTTGAACACTCTGTAGTTGCTGTTTAAGTCTCCACTAAACTTGACTGACCGTTCCTCTACAGCAACTGATGAGCCACAGCAGAAAGACGGGGACGTGGAGGAGAGACAGAAACTGTCCACTGAGAGAGAAGCTCAGCAGAGACGCATCACACAGCTCGCTGAGGAGACGGCCAAGCTGAAGACTGAACTCGCAAGGTACACGCACACACACACACACACAACACACAACACGCACCCTGGCTCGAGCCCCTTTCACACTAGCAAACACTTTCATCTGCTTTTTGACTCTAGTGAGAAAAGTTACAATAGGCGCTTTCACACCGCAGTACTTTTCCCACAAAGGTTCATCAGAACTTAGTTCATCAGAACTCTTTAGTTCTGATGAACTAAGTTACAGATCGCGTTCACACCGGAATAAGTCCCTGGGGGAGGATTAGGCAAATGAAGCCGCTGACGTCACTTCTTCTTCTGCTTTGGGTTTACTGGCAGGCCGCCAACTTCACGGCGTATAACTGCCACCCGAAGTCCCCTGCCGAAGTCCCCGGAGTTGGGGACTGGCTTCAGTAGAAGCTGCTGGGACTAGTGTTAATTTCGTTGACTAAACTATGCCGAATATGTTCGTCAACGACCTTTTTTTTCCATGACGAAAACGAGACGATGCACGAGACGGCACCGACGGCAGTAAACAATAACTGTAACGAAATCAAACATGCAATATCGTTGACGAAAAGTGAGGAGACGAAATATTATCAAAGATAACGTTACATCTCTGATAGTCAGTTTTTCTCCCAGCAGTTCCATTTCCGGTGCTGCGGCTGGGCAGCAGCTGGTGTGTCTGTGCTGGCGCGCAGGCAGGACATTTGAATACACCGGGCAGCGGCACAATATGGAACTGTCAGGAAGACTCGGGTCTAACTCATGGTCTAACTAACCTTATTTAACAGAAAATAAAATGGCAACAACAGGGCTTGGGAGCAGTGGGTCGCACTCGCGTTAACCGAATACCCCCCCTCAGCGCGAGTGAGTGATAAATTGTGCCAATCGACGGGTAATAATGGATTATGACGGAAATGTTACGATCCTGTCCGTCAAAAATGACTGACAACGAAAAAGTCTAAAGCCACCACTGCTTGGGAGAAAAGAAACGATGTGATATTTGGGCCCATTTCGCTGCAATGAGGCGGAGAAAAAAAGTGAATGCATTGTTTTATCAGAAGGGAAGCAATGTAGCCTTAACACAGCTGGTAAAAACACCACAAACCTGACCAGATAACTCTCTGCAAAGCTGCATTCTTAATCATTCAACCTGTGTTTTCATCAAATAAGGACAAGATATAATCTTTATTGTGAACTAAAATGACAAATTATTGGACTAGTTTGACTGAAATGTTCAATATAATCTGATGACTAAAAAAGACTCGACAGTTTTCATCATTGACAAAAAGTAGACTAAAATAATTAGTTTTCTTTGACTAAAATAAGACTGAAATGCTCAGACTTTTAGTCGACTAAAACTTGACTAAATAAAAACAGGATGAAGGTGACTAACTATGACTAAAAACTAAAAAGGAAATTTAACACAGGACTAAGACTAAAACTAAATAAAAAAATAGCTGACGAAATTAACACTAGCTGGGACTCCCAGCAGCTTCTACTGAAGCCTTCAGAGTAAATCGCCAGAACGCCGACACCTCATCTCCACCGCTCCCATGTTTTATTTGTGTTGCCATAAGTTAAGGCCCCTGACACACCAGGTCGTCACCAGAGAACTCGCCGACGCCGACTGTTGCGTCGGCGTGTTCTCCTGCGTCTTGGCCATGTGTCGCACTGGAACACACTGCCAGGACTTCAGCCGAGCACGTACGAACTGCGCATGCGTGAGTGGCAATAACTCTCCTTACCAGCAGGCGGCGGTAGTGTGTATTCGTCATTCAAAATAGGCAATAACCGGAGACAGAGAAGAAGAACAGACTGTGGATATAAACAAACAACAAATAGCGTGTGCGTTCCATTTTCACTCTCGTCATCGAAAACATGTTTCGTGCAGTAACTGGGCCTATCAGCCATTGGAGTGTTGCTTGTGCAAGACATTCTCAAGCAACAGTCTCTCAAGAGGCAGAAGCGAAGAATTAGGAGAAACCGCACTAAATGGGTGAAATCATGGATACTACAGCGAGAAGCTCATGGGGCGTTGTGATATTTTCCTCAAGCTTTGGTAAAGTGTATTCTTTGAATGCAGATTTGGGTTCTGCCCGCTCTGTATTAATGTCATGTGGATTTTCCTGTCATGTTGACAGGTTATCATCATGTAGGCGTTGATAAAAGCTCATTCTAATGTTGTGTTATGTGTGTATGAAGGTACGAAATAAAGTTTTGCATTGCCTATCCTGCTATTTGTGTTTATTTCTTTTAATCACACAGCGATAAGAAAACAATAACAATGTGCCTACATAACTGTCAGTTGCAAGCCCTAGCATTAGTATTGGTTATAGTAACAGCTACAACATTAAAATACTTCTAGGCAGATTGAGGAGGATAATGGGAGAATGAACAGAGGGGCAAGAAACATCCATCTGAATAATAATAATAACTTTATTTGTATAGCACCTTTCATACAGGGGATTGCAGTTCAAAGTGCTTTACATCAGTAAGAATAAGACATAAAATCAGTGTAAAAACAAGCAGCAAGAGCAAAGCATAAAATGGGATAAAATAATGCAGATATATTATATATATATATATTGTAATCCCAACAGGCCACCTTATGGTTTGATTCAGTTTTTAGTAGAATATAAAATACATGAATGATGAAATGAGCACATAAAGTGCAGACATACTATAAAATCAACGTTAATAGACCTGCATCTGATGATCGCAGTGTTCTGGCGGGTGTGTAGTTTATTGAGTCAGTAATGTATGTCATGTCATAATGGCCACTTCTTGCTAAATGTACATTTCCATGTGATGCTTTTATCCGAGGCGACTCACAATAGGTAAATGAACAGCCAGTAGACAGTATCTCATGTACTTAGACACTGTACTTAAGTACTTGGCCTCTCTCTGAGCGGTGCCGGTGTGGTTTCTTGGTCCGACTGCCTGTGTCCGACGCATGGCCGATTCAACATGTTGAATCAGCCATGCGTCTGGCCGTGAAAGGCAAATAAGGCGTGTCACGGCCGACGGTTCGGGACACACCAAATTGAGTTTGGGCGACAGGGCACGCTTTGTCGTCCGACTAACGAAGACGGCCGATTTCGGCCTGGTGTGTCTGGGCCTTTAGTCTCTGCGTTTCTGCGCTGGGCTAAATGCTAATAATTGCTAATGCAAGGATAATAAATGGCGGCTTCACAACATTTTTGGGAGTTTTACCGGGCGTGGTTTGCATTCCTCCCAGCCAATCAGACATAGGAACCTTTTTCTCCCACGAAAGTACCTGCTCTCTAGCAGGGACGGAAAACTGACGGAAAAGGGGGTAAAAAGGTTCTCATGAACTAATTTTAGTTCCGGCTCTTTTTGGTGTGAACGCGACATTTCGGAACTATAATCGGAACTAAAGTGGGAAAAGTACTGCGGTGTGAACGCGCCTAATCAGTATTTAACCCTTGGACAAATGAGTTTCCCTCATTTATCAGCTTCATCTCTGACCAGCACTGAGGACAGACTCTTCTGCCTCTTCTCAGGGGTCTAAGTGAATATATAATAAGTGAAATCAACAAGGATTTGGACTTTTATTACAATCAGTAAAACAAAACATGAAATTAATATACTCTTCACAACGGCACCAGACTCCAGTCAGACCACAGTCATTTGACCCTGCTGATCGTAAAACAGAACTCACTCAATCGACGGCCTGTGTCCACATAGCACCTTTTTTTTCTGAGGGCCAGTGGGTTTTTGTGCACATGTCCCGCTTTAAGACAAGTGACCGATATGAAAAAAAGTAACTATTGTTGTTTGAAAACCCTGCTTTCGGACACGTCCATAACATACCACACGAAAGAAAATTCTATTCAGACTATTACGTATTTTATGTGAATTTACTAAAAAACCTGTGTTCACACGCTCATTTTTGAGCATTTGTAGCATTTGTTAAAAACAACTGAATGCAGAACCTGAATGATCCATAGAATAATATTTCTATTTAGTAACATTTGACAGCTAAAATGACCAGTGTAGAACTTCCAGCAGATAATCAATGAATCCCTGTGACCTAACTGTGATTCCTGTTGTGTATGCCTCAGATCCAGCGCCAGCGGGAACTCGGCTCAGTCTCAGCTGCAGGCCTTCAGAGACTCGGTGGCCCGTCTGACGTCAGAGAGAGACACTCTGAAGAAAGACCTGGAGACGAAGAACAGTGACATCCTGGAGAGGAACCGGACCATCACTCAGGTCAGAAGATTGGACGGCGCTACAAGACGCAGTATGAGGAGCTGAAAGCCCAGCATGACAAGGTGGGACTGCGGGCCTGGAATGGGTCTGTCTAAGCTGCAGGTTAGTGAGGATTCAAACTGGACTAGTGAGCTGTGTGTGTATTTCAGATGGTTGGGGAAACTGCTGTTAAAGCAGGAAGTGAGGCGGGTCCGAGCCAGGAAGTGCAGGAGCTGACTAAAGCCCAGGAGGAGCTCAACAAGGCCAGAGAGGAGCTGAGCACACTGAAAGAGGAGGCGCAGAAAAAAGTGGAGGAGGTGAGCAGGAAGACAGGAACACAACATATGATGATGGGCCACCATGCTGTTCTAAAAATGTAACGCCCACATGTGACCAAACTCATCCATTCCATTGCGATCAAACAATATAAATGATTATATTCTAAGAAATGAAACCTAATTAAATGTACAACAAAATGTGTGAGATTCATGGCTCTGACATCAGTCGTGTTATCTAAACTGTCACAAAACTCTGCCAGACCAAATTAGACTATAGGATAATACAATAGGAAACAAAACTCTTTAGTTTGGCTAGAAAACATCAATAATATACAAACATGGCTCTGGGGCCTCATTTATAAAGGGATATACGCTCCAAAAATGGCGTACGCCAGTTTCTACGCAATGTTTGCAATTTATAAAATACTAACTTGAAGGGAAAATGTGCGGTCCTCCACGCAAACTCTAACCCATGCGTACGCACTAAGCACAACAACGGGAGAGACGAGAAACTGCGACACCGTTGGCAGAAGGAAGAATGGAGAGAAATATGTGGAAATAATACCATAAATAAAATGTTACCTCTCATTTATCATATGAAGAATTCATTTTCAAACATTGATTAAAGCCAATCTTAAAATGATTAAACAAACGCCTGTTTGTGTGCACTGAGGAGTCTCAAAAACATAACTTGGAGAAATAAATAAATACGGATGTTATTTAAAACCACCTCGAATATGTTGTGTTAATGTTATGAAATGTTTTCTCATAAATGATGCGGTAAGCAGGAGGACAGAATTACGTCTAAACTGACGCCGTTTGCATTCTATAGGTTGTAGATACGAGCATGGTTTTATATACTATCACGTTTAATCGTGTTTTATGCCGTTTGCCAAGACTTGATAAGTCGCTCGTAAAACACAGGAGGGATGGAAACTAAGAACACCATATGTGGTAAATTGTACAGCTAATATAACACAACACATTGTATTTCCTTTAACTGGTGGATTATGGATATATAGTTGCTGATCGACAGCTGGAACACAAACCACCAAATACAACAAAATAATTCAGATCCAGTCGTCATGACTCCACTCCGGAGGGATTCCCCGATCATTTCTTACAGTTTCTCATCAAGGGGTGTCTCCTGTCCCCGGGACAAACACACTGCCTGAGGAAGGTTATGTGTATGTTTTTTGTCATTAACTTTTTTCGGACCACTTATTTATTTATGTTGGTGACGATCCGACCTCCATGCTGCTACTCTGGTTCAAACTGCATCCACCAAACAATATGATTTATCTCCACCTCCCCAAAATCTGACAACGGTGTGAGATGTCTTTTTAGCTGTTGTCGTAATTTCCTGCAATCTTCTTCATGCAGTCAGTCAAAATGAATGAATGAATGGGCGTTTCTTTGACTATTTATAAGCAAATATGGGCGTTACGAGTCGATTGTGATTTATCAAGGGAAACAGGCGTAGGAAGTGCCGTACGCACTTCCCTCGCCGGTACGCAACGTTTTGTGAATCGGAAAATGTCGGAACATTTCTGTACCTATTTTTTTGCTTTGTACTACGTAAGCAACCTTCCCACGTCAATCCTACGCAAGGCGTTATAAATGAGGCCCCTGGTCACTTGGACTGTCTGAAAGTATCATTACATGTGATTTCATGTAATACTTTTTTTAACCAAATTAGGACCAGAAGGGCCAGCAGGAGCTGGAGGAAGCCAAGAAGGAGAACCAGCAGACCAAGGATAAGTTCCAGGAGGTCCAAAACCAGCTGACCCAGAAACAGAACCAGCTTACACAGGTACTGAGCACATGCAAGCTACAAACTATCACGAAGCCTGTGCTTGATTAAGCCAGGATGCAACAAACATTATAAGAGGTGTTGATGAGACCAGTATGAAACTAGCTCTACATATACAAACCCCAATTCCAATGAAGTTAACGTAAATAAAAACAGAATACAATGATTTTCAAATCCTTTTGGAACTATATTCAATTGAATACACTACAAAGAAAATATATGTAATGTTTAAACTGATAAACGTTATGATTTTTTGTAAACTAATTTTGAATTTGACGCCTGCAACACGTTCCAATAAAGCTGAGACAGGGGCATGTTCACCACTGTGTTACATCACCTTCCTTTTAACAACGCTCCATAAGCGTTTGGGAACTGAGGACACTAATTGTTGGAGCTTGGTAGGTGGAATGCTTTCCCATTCGTGCTTGATGTACGACTTCAGTTGCTCAACAGTCCGGGGGGTCACCGTTGTTGTTTTTTGCGCTTCATAATGTGCCACACCTTTCAATGGAGACAGGTCTGGACTGGACTCCATCTCAGATGAGCTCGGGCCAAGAGATGCCGCTACCGTTTCTAGGTGTTGTTGATATTTGGCTTTGGTAGAGTTTCACTCACACTTGTAGACGTAATGAAGAACTGTGATCACTGACGATGGTTTTCTGAAGTGTTCCTGAGCGCACGTGGTAATATCCTTAACAGGATGAGGTCGGTTTATAATGCAATAATGAAGTGAGGGATCAACGGTCACAGGGATTCAAAGTTGGTTTTCGGGCTTACTAGCAGAGATTTTTCCGGATTCTCTGAATCTTTTGATGACATTATGGGCTGTAGATGATGAAATCCCTAAATTCCTTGCACTTGTACGTTGAGAAACATGGTTATTAAACTGTTCGACTATTTGCTCACGCAGTTGTTACAAAGCTTTTTCAAATGAACCTATGGAATGTTCCAAACAGGTTTTTTTTCAGCATTCCTCAATTGTCCCAGTCTTTTGTTGCCCGTCCCAGCTTTTTTGGAACGTGTTGCAGGCATCAAATTCAACATGAGTGAATATTGTTTAAACATTGCATATCTTCTCTTTGTAGGGTATTCAATTGAATTTTGGTCGAAGAAGTATTTGCAAATCATTGTATTCTGTTTTGATTCACGTTTTACACAACGTCCCAACTTCATTGGAATTGGGGTTTGTAGAACACATTAGAAAGGCAGGACTCACAGGGTCAGTTGTCATCTCTTTACTTCTATAGGTCCAGTCCCAGTTGTCCCAGATCCAGACTCAACAGCAGCAGAATCAGAACCAGCTGACCCAGAGTCAGAAAGAGCTTCAGCAAGCCAAGACCCACAGCCAGCAGGTAAGAAGAACTGCCAAGATCACAGCAGCACCTGGCAGATATGAATGTCACTATAACCCAAGAACCAAAACAAATCCACTTGACAAAAGACCCACCTGACTAACTTTGACTTTAAAGTTCCAGAACCAGTTGAAAGCAGCTCAGTCTCAGTCTCAGGCCCGGCAGAACCAGATTCAGCAGATCCAGAGGGAGCTCCAGCAGGCTAAAGAGGCCCTTCAGCAGAACCTGGTTAATCAGAAGGAGCTACAGCAGACCAATCAGAGCAGTCAACAGAGCCACAACCAGGAAGTCAGCAACCTCAAGACTGCTCTCAGCCAATCAGAGTGCAAGGTTAGGAGCCTTCTTTTTCTTGATATCTTCATTTATTGTTTAAATTACTACTAAAGCGTCTTACAATACATACTAACATTTAGAAACCATTAAGAATACTATTACACACAGTATAGGAGGCATTTTTTGAGGTGGTCAAGAACGAGTCTTTCCTAAAAAACATTCTTAATAAAAGTTAAACCCATCTAAAATGTTTAATGTGTATGCAATTATTGTCACCAGGACAAACATAACATTTTGCATCACAAGCTAAATATTGACTATAAATGTATTCTTATTCAAAGTTTACTTCCTTACATTAATATTTGTCCTGTGATAAAAAAAAAAAAAAAGTTTAGCATTTCTTTCTTGTACACTTACTGAGAACATATTTAAGTCATAATACCTTTTAATTAACACCGTTTGATTTCTGTAACATAAAAGGAAAAGGTCAGTTTCTGGACAAAAAGGAGCCATGTGGATTATTCTTCCCAGAAGGATAATGCTGAGGATTCTTTTCAATACTTACTAACAAGTGTGCTTACCTCGTAACAGGTGACTGAGATTCAGGGCCGCCTGGACAGCCTGCAGAAGGTTTGGAACACTTTTTTCTTCTAGAAACAGCACTACTGGTGATACATCTGTAGCATTCAAAGAGTGTATGAAGTCATTGGATTCATCTACTTTATAGAAGTATGGAGCAGCTTTACTAAGGGTTAAACGTCATTAGTAAGCCAGAGTTTACCTCTAATGGTTGGCATTTAGTCATTTTTCAATGAATTGATTTTTCATTACAATTCATCAGTGCAACCAATTCATCTGTACCTTTTCTTCACAAGTGTTTCTCCCTTAATCCATTTTCCTCATCCTTCACTACTTTTTTGCCAACCTAAGTAATTTTCTTTCCTTCCTATCCAATTCACCTGCATCAGGCTCTCTATTCTTTAAAATGTCTCCTTACTAATTGTCCCTTTTTGTCAGATGGTTGAAGAGCGTGAAGCCGACATCAAGCGTCTGCAGGAGCAGCTAACTGAAGCTAACAAAGCTAACCGAGCAACGCAGGCCTTCCAGAACCAGAGTTCCCAGTCCATCCAGGCCAGTGATGCTAACGTTGCTTCTGACGCTAACCATGCCCAACAAGAGGAGCTTGCAAAACTCAGACAAGAGGTACTTCATAAATCACAATTGATATTATTGGTTTTTTTTGCATTTCATATTGGGGTTGTAGTATACCTTTGATCATGTCGGAATAGCAGTTTGAGTTGTTTGTTGTTCCCCTGCAGATGTCTGAAAGCAAGGCCAGAGAGGAGCAGCTCAAAAAGCAGATAGCTGAAAAAGAGGAAAAGACTAAAAAGGTCTTCATGGGAGCCAAGACCAAAATCAACCAACTAAACAGTAAGTACACTACATTGAAAACATGCTGAAGCTCCTTTGTTCCTTTGGCTTAAGAGTAACTTGAGTGTGTTAACTACACCTTGACCTTTAGGTCTAACCGTAGTCAAATCCTGCTTTTTTAAAATAAGACTATTGGCCAAAACCAAGTCGTATTTATCTTTTAATGACTTAGAAAGGGTTATTAACGCCTTTGTAACCTCAAGACTGGACTATTGCAACGCTCTGTATGTGGGTATGGACCAGGCCTCAATTAAACGCCTGCAGCTAGTTCAGAACGCAGCTGCACGTTTGCTGACTGGCCACAAAAAGCGTGACCACATCACCCCTATTCTGGCCTCACTGCACTGGCTTCCAGTTCGGTTCAGAATTGATTTTAAAATCCTTTTATTTGTTTTTAAAGCACTAAATGGGCTGGCTCCGGCCTATATAGCTGAACTCCTCCAGCGCTACACCCCAGCCAGAGCTTTAAGGTCTGCTGACCAGCTGCTGCTGGTAGTGCCCAAGACCAGGCTCAAAACCTGAGGGCACCGAGCCTTCGCATCAGCTGGCCCCAGGCTCTGGAACACTCTGCCCCTCCATGTGAGGTCGACCCAGACCCTAGGGGTTTTTAAATCTACACTAAAAACACACTTCTTCTCTCTGGCCTTTTAGTCAGAGCGGAGCACGACTCCTGACTTTTCCTTGTGTTTTATTTTTATTTTGTTTTTATATATATTTGATTGTAGTAATGTGTTTTTATTACATGTACAGCACTTTGGCTCGACCAAAAATCGCTTTTAAATGTGCTATATAAATAAAACCTGATTTGATTTGATTTAGGTGCTAAGGTGCAGCTCAGTAAGGAGATAGAGGAGATGAAACAGAGTAAGGAGGAGCTGGAGGTGAGGATGAACGCCCTCAAGTCTCAGTATGAAGGACGACTTCTGCGGCTGGACAGAGAGCTGAGAGAACTGAGAGGGACACAGGCACAGTCGGACCCCCGAGAGGAGCCCCAGGACCAGAGTGGAGCTAAGGTACATGTGGACAGGACGCACGTGAAGGTCCTGACACTGAGGACACTCATAATTTATGTTGTATGTGACGGGACTACGGATGGAAACTAGCTCAAAGCTCAAATCCGGCTCATTTACTTTTAAAAGCATTATTTTGTTTAAAATGTTCATTAATGTGCACTGTCCCGGTTCAAATAAATCACTTTGTCTCATCAAAATACAGAGAACGATTTGTTCTGTAATTATGTGTATGATGTCTGTGCAACTGAAAATCAGTTGCTGTCTCGACCAACCTTTTTGAGACTGAGGCCCCGGCCCCACAGGGACGCATACGGTAAAACGCATACGCAATCGCAAAAAAGGCTTCCGTCCACACGCAATAGACACCGGAAAGTGTCTGCCCACACGAGACAGCTCCGTTTAGCTCCAACCGCTGGAAAAGCTGCAGTTCATATGCCGAGCCTGTACGTAGCGCTGTAACTTCCTCCACAAAAGCAGCGAAGAAGAATGGTTGTCATGGTTGCCCTTCTGTTTATTCTCCGTGGTGGGGGCCGAGGGAACCGGGCAGAGTTTTTCGCCGGTCAGCGTGTGTTAAAGTTTAAATCTTCCAGACAAAATTATAAAAGTGCCGGTCAAAGGTCTTCTTTGTTATTTATTGAGCTTTAAAACAAATGAATAACGACGATATAATGATATATAATAATAAAATACACGGAGGCTGTCTCTTTTTCCTCTATTCTGACAGCGTCAGTGTCTGTCTCGTGCAGCAGCTGATCCAGTAATGAGTGACCCGACAGTAAAAATAAACATATTTATAACTAGTTTAGGTAGTTTGAGAGGTAATTAAAATAGCTAAGGGTGATGATCTGACTTGAAGTGTGTGTTTTGCTCCGTTCACCGCTGCATCACAGCGGCAGGAGCTGCAGGTGAGCAGAGCTGCGTGTCTCCGTCCTGTCAGATTAGACTTCACTCGCGTTTATATCGAGAGAAAGATAAATAATCTGAATTCAGTGTGCAGTGTACTTTGACGCGGGGGTGAGCAGGAGAGGCGGGGCTATTGCGTCATCATTATCAGAAAATGATCGTATAGGGCGTACATACGGAGCCGTTGGACCCCCCCAGAGCGCTGCGTATGCCGTTCTATCCACCTTGGGACCCGTTACCGTAGTCGTTTACTGCCATATTCTGTCGTCCTAGTGTAGCCGAACGGTCTATATGACACAAAACGGTAACGGAAACTACCGTATGCGTCCCCGTAGGGCCGGGGCCTGAGTATGGAGGGCTTCTTGTTTGATATAATCTTTCTGAAGAATATATATTTGCAGTTTTCCTTTAAATAATGAATGTTATGCATTGAATAGGCCATATATATAAAAGTGATGTTTACTTATTATCGTTTCCGAACAATAATTATTATATATATAATTATTATTATATATGAATACTTACTATACATTCTTCTTCTTATTATTATTATTATTATTATATATAGCTACAGTCTATGGTCAACACGGATCTAAAAGACTTTAAAGTTACAGCAGACGACCCAAAGTCACTTTTCTACCCCTTGTAGTTTATTAAAAAATATAGTTTTTTATGTTAAGCTTGTTATTTTCTGGAACAAAAAAGTTATTTATTTATTTAGCGATGATTGCGCTATTTTTAGAAGAATATTCCTATAATTGCCATCTCAAAGATCTTTAATGCTTGCAAGAATGGCACCTTCTTACAGTTCCCCTTTCCTCTTATCCTTCCATTTTTCCAAATATAACAACCCTATTTTGAAATAACTTTTTTCTTAATTCCAATAACGCTGTGTTTCAATTTCCACAATTATTTCTGTGATTTGATCAATCTTACAAACGTGTGTGTGTCCTCAGGCGGGGGATCAGGCCAGACCTGCAGACCAGAGACAGATCTCTCTGAAGAGTCCTGCTCAAGACCGGGGAAGGTAACTAATCAAGACATACTGTCATGCCCCAAATAGGGTTAGAAGGCATTTTGATATACCAAATTCCTAGACATTTTCTTTTTACAGTCATGGGTGTTATCTGACAGGTCTAGCTTCACATTGTTAATAAGTCCTCAGAACCATATTAGAAAAAATCTATTCAAAACTTAAAGCGTCAAGTTGGTTGTTTGTTGGGAGGCGTGTGGCGCAGTGGACTAGTGCGTTGGTGTTCCTATCAGGGGGTCACAGGTTCAAACCCCACTGCAGTCAGCATGTCGTTGTGTCCCTGAGACACTTCACCCCAAATTGCTCCTGTGGGGATTGCCCACAGTATTGAGTATGTAAGTCGCTTTGGATAAAAGCATCTAACATGTAACATGTAATGTAATGTTTACAGTATCAAACTAACACAAAACAAATTGCTCATTAAGACAACTCTTCATGCTTTTTCCTTCAGCTCCAGCCTGTCCGACCCCCCCACTGCCAACATCCGCCCCACCACAAGTACTCCATCTCCTAGCAACAAGCCAAGCCCCTCCCAAGGTAGCAAGTCCACACCTCGTGCCAGCATCCGGCCAATGGTTACCCCAGCAACTGTGTCCGTCCCAACACCTACCGCCACTGTCATGCCGACCACACAGACTGACAGTCAAGAGGGTGAGAGCAAAAAACAAAAGTCAAATTAGTAAAGAAAACAGTAGATATTTTCAAAGCCTTACCTCAAAGATGTAAAATATGTTTAGTTAGTACAAGAGTGGTGCAGGAATAAGTCCTAAAACCTGGAAATGAGTCAGCATTTAAGCACTTCCAAGCTCACTCGTAAAGTCAATGTTTTTTTTTTAACCTGAAATGCCTGAAACAAGGTCTTTGGTTTACAAAAGACATCTGAAGAGATGTTTAACGTTTGGTTCTACGACATAAAACATGTCAGTAAATACCCCACTGGTGCATGTCTGAAGATGTCTTAAAAACTGCGTCTCAAGTTACCAAATTAGACTACTAAACATCATGCTGAATATTAGCCGCCTTTTAGCTTAGCCGTGGTGACGTGAAGTCATGGGACTATAGTTTGTATATTGCCTAATGTTAGCTTTGTATTTCTGGCGAGTGGTGTGTATACGTGGAGGGTTTCATAAACCTGTGTTTACCACATATCTTATCCTGCAATATCCACAATATTTCGAAACCAAATGGGAAAATCACAATGCTTTTTATGGCGGGAACCCTTGCGATACTAACTTCCGACTGGGCCTACAAAGATATGTAATTTCCGCAAGACTCTATGGTTACTGTATCTCTGTGTCAGATTAACATAATGTGTCCCCCTGCAGTGCTGATGGGTGCAGGAGCCACTGTGCACTCCACCAGCTCCAGTCTGGTGAACACACCCACTTCAATGACTCAGCCAACCAGCACCCAGGCCACAGCTTTTGTCCAGCCCACCCAGCAGCAGGCAGCCAATCAGGACGCAGGCCCCAGTATGGATGCAGAGAGACCATCTACGTCCTCTTTTCTGAGTGGAACAGGTGAGCAGGACGTTGTGCTTAAACCATCATGCAGCCACCCTGCAACTGCTCAGATAAACAACATGAAACACATTACCAGAACAAAACAAAACACACTGTTGTTGGCTGTAGCGTGTTATGCATAAATACACATCGATGTCAAGATAAAATCCTATGTGTAATAGGTTTTACTTAAAGTACAGAGTTATGGGTTTTGGCAGGACTAGATTGAATGAAATGTTCAATATAATCTGAAGAGTGAATAGTGTTACCTGATATACTGATGTCATCCTGCGTGTGTTTGGTGTTTAAAGCAGGTTCAAAGCGAAGCATAGAGGATGAGGACGGGGAAGAGGAGAACACGTATCCGACCTTGAAAAAAACAAAGATAGCACTGCAGGTAAACACACGAGTGACAGCATGTGATTATTGCTTTTTCCTAAAGTATTCTATGTATATATCCTTTCAGTGTGGTACTGGGATCACACCTAATACGTGTTTGAAAAGGAGAAGTATTTAACATATACTGAATTTATTCTATATTCTATCTGTAACAAAGAAGAATTCTTTGTTGGATGATAGTAAAATGCACTTCTAGTTGCTGATTGCTGAATTGTTACTTTGGGTGTTTTAATGTGACTATTAGAATTTAAGTGTGTGGGTTTAAAAGACACCTATTATGCAAAATGCACTTTTTTAAGGTCTTTTATACATAAATATGTGTCCCCGGTGTGTAAGGAGACTCACAAAGTGTCAGAAAATAAAACCCTCTCTCTTTTCCTCCTTACACACATCTCTAAAAACGGGGGAACAACGGAGCTGATCCAGATTTGCTGCGCTCATGACTAAAATGTGGGCTGGCTTTACGTTGAACTCCTGGCAATGTCCCACCCACGTCCCAACCTATTGACCCCATATACAGTCGCTAGCTGAATCCCCTCCCTCAGCTGTGTGTCTGTGTATTCAGCCGGATGTCTACGAGAGGGACTTAGAGTAAAGTTGATATATATATATATATATAGGGTAGATAGGTATATATATATATATATATATATATATATATATATATATATATATATATATATATATATATATATATATTGGAGTATCAGCATGCAAGCAGTGAGCTCTGTGAAGAGAAGGCTGTCTACCAGCAGAAACTCAGCTAAATGCTGCCGTGATTATATATATATATATATATAATCACGGCAGCATTTAGCTGAGTGGGGGCGTGGCTAGCAGCAGCTCCAAAGGGGGCGTGGCCAGAATCAGCACTTTAGTAACAGGGCTGAAATAGAGGGGTATGAGGCATGCTACAATGGGTGATCTGTTTGGTACTTTGAGAAAACACTTCAGACACATGTTTTGTATAGATATGGCCCCTATAATATATTGTTCAAATATAGCATAATAGGTGATCTTTAAACATGCTTTTTTTTACCTTTTCTGTTATGTTTGGATTTGCCAAAACTTGTTTTTCACTGCTCTGTATAACAGTGAATCAAATAAACATCAACACTCTGATGTTACAGCAGGATTTTCTAATTAAGTGATCAAAGAATGTAAGTGGATGAAACTCCAGTTCAAAGTATGTGGAGCGCACTGTCAATCATTTGACAAAGTAAGAAAAAGAGTGGTAAATAAAATATTAGCAGAACATAGCTCGATCACAAACAATAGCTTTGTTTCAAGCATAAGTCTGAATGGCAGTAGTGTAACACGTGTTGTTACTCATAATGTTGAGGTTGGAAACCAACATTCTAAAGCATATCACTTAAGTAGCTGCTCTACAAAGTTTAGTTTTGTCAATCGGCACTGTTTTCAGTTTTCAATGAACTCATTGGTGTTAAGTGAGAGCTGGAACTTGGTATGTTTCAGATGGAAGGTGATGAGGAGATTGTAGAAGAGCTGCAGGACGAGGAAAAGCGTCAGGATTCACCTGATGACAGTCAGGTCAGTCACCAATGACCTTCATTTTATTGCTATTTAGTTTTGCATGAAATTTCCAAAAGATATTCAACAACATTATAACATGTTTTACTCATATCGTGTAGCCCTAGTAGATAAGGATACTACAAACATGCACAGTAGGATAATGGCTTCCAATCGTCTCCACTACTAGGAAAAGAGGTGGAGATTACACTGTTATGATGATTTTAAGATATTGAATAATGTTTTTGTGTTTGTGCTGCAGGAGCTTCCGGACGATTGTTTCCCCGTTCTAGCTGAAGATGACGAGGATGTGGAGAGAGTGTCCCAGTCCGTCCCCTCTGACATGATGTCCCCTCAGGGCTCCACTATTATCCGGGACGTCATCGTGATCGACACGGACAGCGAGAGCCGTGAGAGTAGAGAGGGGGAGGAGAAGCATGATGACGAGGAGGAGGAAGATGAGGAGGAAGAGGAGGAAGAAGATGACGGGGTGCTGATCTGTTCATTATCTGAAATAGTGTTGCAGTGATGTTTTTTTGTAGGCCAACCCGGATGTCAGCATCACAATGACTCCCTCAACAAAAAGCAATCAGATTTTTCCATTGGATTTTTGGAATATTGTAGTAAAAGTTTAATCTATGGCAAAAAAACCTTTGATACTTACACATTCTGTTCAGAAGGATAATCTCCACATATTAACACCACTTTATGATTTTTGAAGCGTTAAAGCAATCTCCAGATGTTAATGGTAATGCTATAAACAATATATATCAGTCACATGACTTCCCCACTGCTAAGCTAAAGGTGGCTAATCATGTTATGTGTGATGACGTTTAGTAGTGTAATTTAGCCACTTGTTAGCAACCGTGTTTTCTTGAAAAAGAAGCTTCAGACATTCACAATATTTATTTATTGATGTATTTAGAACAACATTTTCAAATCTCTTCACCTTGAGTTAACCACAGACCTTATTTCAGGATAACAACCAAAACCAATTCAGACATGTTGAGACTGCAAAGGTTTTATTGTCATATGCACAGAGCCACAGTGTAGATATGGCAATGAACATCTGAAGTCCCAGGCTCCTCCAACAATGCAACATAAATCTATATAACACATAAAATATTAAACTAGTTGGTTTTTTTTTTACTATTAAAAAAAGTGCAAGAAATAACAGTATAAATAAAAAAGTGCAATATTATGTTGCAAGACCAATGTACAAGTAACTGGATGTGGTAAAATGCTGACTGCACCACTCTGTTTTCAGCTTTGTTTCTGTTGACCCGAGTAAATAACCCTATTTGGTCTCTCTACCTCAGTATAAGGAGGAAGAGGATGATGATGAAGATGATGAGGCTGGTGAGAGCGGGATGAGAGGAGGAGAGGAAGGCAGTGAGAGCAGGGAGGCAGAGGAGGAGGAAGGAGAGCCGTCAGAAGTGTGTGGAGCGTCTTCAGACTCGCAGCAGCCGTCCCACAGCAGTGAGCCCCCCCCCCCCCCCTCACTCATTCTCTGGCCCTCTTGTTGAAACCCTCTAATGTGAGTTCCCCTCTCTTCCAGATGAAGGCAGCAGCAGCGCCACATCGGAGTCCGAGCCCCCCCGAGAGCCTGTGCACTTCCCCCCAACCTCCTCTACACCCTCCCCCTCCTCCCTCACCCCCCGCCTGCCACACCCACGCAGGCCCCCTCACCCCCTCCCACCAAGACTCTATATCCAACCCCCGGTTCAAGAGCTGGGACCCCCACACACACAGGTAAACACACAGGTACATCAAATAAAAAACAGTCATGCTTAAGTTAGATATAGCTTTATAACTCAAGATACAACCCTTTTTTCCTCAACCCTTGAATGGAAAGCCTCATGATTGTCTATGTTCTACATTACACTGTTATTACACATATATAACACATTAATACACTCCTATTACACCCATGTTACACCATTTTTACACATTATATCCATGTTCTCCCATGATACACTGTTATTTCACCCTTAATAAACTCATAGTACACTGTAATTACAAATGAATACAACCCTCTTACACCCATGTTACACTGTTATTACACTTGTATATTATACCCATGATACAGTCATTTCACCTATATTACACTTTTATTGCACCCATTTTACACATGGACACAGCCTGTCAAATGACTACATCCCCCAGAAACCATTTACGGGTTGCAAAATGTAATAGTAATGAATAAAGATTGAATGTAATAGATTACTAATCAGGAATATATGGAAGCCCTGAGAGGCAGTTAGAAAGAAAAAACAGCTGATCCATTTTCTGGAACTAATCTAGATGGTTTTGTCTCCTGTACAAACTTACTTAAGAGTTTTTCCCAGGCAAAATGTTTTTGTGGAATTCTGTGGAACAGATGAGGGTTATAATAAAAACATGTGTACTGCTAACACAATATGTACCTTTTAATGTTTAGGGTACAAACATTAAAACTCATCTGGAAGAAAATATGAATGCTTTAGTGGTGCATATCAGCCTCTTATGTAAACTGAGTAGAACGGTCATATAACTACCAACCTTCATATTGGAGGGTTGGTTCCCAACCCCTGCAGTCAACATGCTGATGTGTCCTTGGGCAAGAAACGTAACCCAAAATGGCTCCCCATGGCCAACGTGCTGTGTGTGAATGATGACTTGTATCTATGCCAAAGTGCTTTAAGGCATCTTAAAAACTGGAAAATCGCTATATAAATACAGTCCATTTGCCATTACAACAAATAGATTTTGGCTAAATCTGTTGTTTGGTCATAAAAACAAAGAAAAAATTATTTGATAAGATGAACTTACGCTGTGAAATGTTTTTTTAAATGTAAAATGAGTGTTGTAGCTGCTGTGAAAATGTCCTGTAAAAATAATCTTGAATGAATAGAATACTCTGACAGTGATGTCCTGTTTTCTGTTTGTTTAATCAGAGACAGTCCTCTCAGCTGCGCAGACCCTCAGTGGGACGCGGACCTCAGCTCACCCCGGGAATAGGCAGCATGGTGAGAGACGGAGTGTGTGTCCAGGGGTTAGAATACATGTACTGTTAATGTTGTCAGACACATCCTACCTGTGTAACTAGTCTAAAGACTGTGTGAAGCATGTGAGGTGTTACTGTGTCTCAGTCAGTGTGTGTGTGTGTGTGTGTGTGTGTTGCAGCAACATTTCTTTGATGATGACGACAGGATGGTTCCCAGTACTCCCACCCTGGTGGTCCCACACCGCACCGATGGCTTTGCTGAGGCCATACAGTAAGATCTGACACAGAGGAACACAACATGTTGGATGTTATTAAATATCTAGAGTGTCAGTGAATAACCTGCTGGGCTTCATTCTGTGTGATTGTACTGAGAGAGGATATCAGGTCAGTCAGGTGCTGCACTCTAAACTATATTTACCTTTTCTTTACGATCTAATCTCCCTGGTGATAGAAAATAGACGAACATTAAGGAGAAATCTCAAATGAGCTTCTTGATTTAACTTTTAAGAAGGTCAAACTAGAGTGTGTGGTCCTTGTGATTTATTTCTTAAATCACATTTCTGCCCCTATGGTTGTATTTATGTTTGTTTTTTAACATTGTTGTAAAGTTTAAAATGACCATAACAGGTGTTTCTTTTGTTACCTCATTAGAAAGCAGAATTCTTAATAAAAATAAAACTAACAATGAAAAAAATGTATGTATATAATCATAGGATGAAGTCATAAATATACCTGTTCAAAAAAGAATGTGCAATAAAAGATCAAGTAAGAGGACAACATGTATGTAAAGATAAGAAGTAAAAGCAACTAGAACTTCATCCAAACAACCTCTCACTTTAAAAGCCTAACTTGTATGAGTAGAGAGCTTCATGGCGACTCCCTGTCTCTCAGCTCTCCTCAGGTGACGGGTCTGTCCACCAGGTTCAGGTTCGGACCCCCAGAAGACCTGCTGCCTCAGACCTCAGCCTCGCACTCTGACCTGGGACAGCTGGCCTCGCAAGGAGGTAACACACACCACCACCACACACCTGAACTTACCTCCAGCAGTGACATGTTGATGGACTTCCTAACCCTGTGTTCAGGTCTGGGGATGTACGAGTCCCCTCTGTTCCTGGCTGCTCACGATGAAGACGGAGGAGGGAGGAGCGTTCCCACCACCCCCCTGCAGGTGGCTGCACCAGGTGAGACACACGCTCTGTACTAGATGATTCATGATTCTGCAAAGCCAAGATCCTTTTGACTTCTGATTTTCAGGTCACTATTGGAATTTGGTTTTCAGCATTGACGGCTATGCCTTTCTGTCTATAGATGCATGCCTCATAAAGATCAACAGATCACTGTTTTTTTACAATGGCAACTGTGATTTACTTTTTTTATTCATGTCTAAAAAGATCCGATCCATATTTTCAATGTGATACTCACAATATTTTGGGGGAATTTACTACAATAAGGCCACAAATGGGCCGTAAAATGTATCCGAGTAAAGTGCAGCTGCAGGCTCCCAATCAGACTAAAATATGTCTTCTTTGAAGTGTTGCTGTTAAGTTTGATCTCTTCAGATGTGCACCAAGGTGGAGAGAAAAAAAATACTGAAAGAATTTGGAAATCCTGATTTCGATTGGAAAATTAGATCAATATCTCGTTTGATGGATTTTACCTGAAAAATGGTGACACCCAGCACTGCACATTGTGACGTGTGAATCATGACTCTGTCTGTCAGTGACCGTCTTCACGGAGTCTCTGCCCTCAGACAGTGGTGACAACATGGCATCCCAGTCGGTTCCCATGGTAACCACCTCCACTGGGATGGCGTCTGCTGCAGATGATGGGGACGAAGTGTTCATGGAGCAGGAGGGAGAGGGGTGAGCAGCTTATTGAATCCCTTTCCTAATCGTCTGAAGTATCTGTGTAAACAATGTGTTCCATTTGACTGAGAACAGATTTGGATGGAGTGTTTGTGTCTGAGTTCAGTGTTTGTGTTTTGCAGTGCTGGTATTGAATCTTCTCTGGACAGCCAGACAGACCTGGAGTCAGCAGGTCAGCAGAGTGATGATGCTTCACTGCCCTCTACCAGCCAGGAGCCTGGTACTGTACTCTGTCTACTGACCAGCATTAACTCTTCATTGTGAACCCAACTAAGGTTTTCTGGGATGTTAACAGAACTGCTGTGACTACTGTCAAAAGGCTGCATTTACACATGCTAACAGCTTCCACATTAACGGTCAGTGTATGTTTTGGTCATTGGATTTTCTTTTCACAAATGGATATTCAAAAACAAAAAACGGCTAGAGATTTAATTTTCGTTTTTAAAATTGAAAAACCAAAATTGAAATACAAGGCGTTTTTCTTTATCATGGTCAAAAAGGGATTTACTAAACTTAAAAAACGGGATGATTTACATTTTCTACTTCTCAAAAAAAAAAAAAAAATCACTAGAAAACAGAAACAAAAAAACTAGTTTTTTTTCATATTCTGCTACCGGAAGTTACCTTACAAAATAAGAGCGCAGATGAGGTCAGAATCCGTGTATAGAGTGGCGAAGTCCCTCCCCTTCCGGTGGACCTCCATGGGACCTTATTTCGGAAAAATTATGTATTGAAGTCAATGGAGAGAGAAAGATTATCTTTCGATCCCGTTTGAATTGTGCCACGAATTACACATATGATGTTTGTCAATTTAAAAGATAATTTTGCAAGTCAAAAAAAAAAAATATGTCGTAAAACTGTGAAGTAACGCATTTGTTTGTGTGAAACGCTCAATGAACTACATCTCTGGTCTCACAGAACAACACACGTCACCAAGATGGCCGTCACTACTGTCTTGTCAACAAAACGATTGACTACCCTCACTATCACCACAATGAAACACGTCCTGAAGAATGTCATGCAAAGCTGCCTGCCTTCCTTTGGTTCTCTCTGAACTGCCTGGTCGTTTTAATGTTTAATGTCAACCATTTGTGCAGATAGCATGAAGTAGAGAAGATCGCCGATGCTAGTGTTAGCGTTAGCATTTGTCCCCCGGGCTTAAATTGTGTATTATAGAATGATCACACCGGTGACAGTACTATTCAAAGGGTTCACGAAATATGACTACTACTCCTACTGTTTAACATGTTGGGTTACTTAATGTTACTTCATGTTAAGGCTAATAAAAATGACAAGGCTGTAATGCTAACTAACGTGCTAGCTACTAGCTACTAGCTAGCTTGATCAAGCCACTCCTGGTCCTTTCATCAGACGGGAAGCGAAATAACGAGCAAGACCCATTGCTGGTATGATAACAACCTGGTACTAAGCACACAGGCATCTTGTTAAAGTTATCTTATCTTAGCCAGCGCCATATAGATAGATTCTATCTATATGGCGCTGATCTTAGCTATCTCTTAGTGTCTCAATTGTGACATCACTTACGCGACTCTGGGATTTGTAGTCTTTCTAGTTACGTATTTTTCATAGTCTTATATTTCAACAGTTTTACGACAAACTGTGACTTTTTTGACATGGAAATTATTTTTTAAGATTGACAAACATCATATGTGTAATTCATGGCACAATTCAAACGGGATCGAAAGATACGTTTTCTCTCTCCATTGACTTCAATACATAATTTTTCCGAAATAAGGTCCCATGGGGCGGAAGTAGATGGGCGTGACTTCGCCACTCTATCTTCCGTCCATTTGTTTTTCTTTATTAAACAAGTAAACTGAAGAGCGTCTGCAAGGCGTTTTTGCTTTTTGCTTTTTACCTTACTAAATGGTCAAATGGTCCTTGGAGCGAGGGGCGGGGCGAAACTCACGGAAGTGATTTGAAAACAAAAGCACTCCAGTGCTAAAATCACACTTTGAATCACTACAGTATCCTGTTGAAGGAACGGTGATTATTATAAACAAGGGGAATTTAGCGATCACAAGACACAAGACACACTTTGAGCCCAGAAAACGAATGTTATTAAGGGCTGTAAAAATAATAAGCCTATGTCTAAAATGTACAACATTGTTAGGAGATTTAAACTATACAGCGATTCTGCACTGCGGTCACTCAGCCGCCTCTCGAGTTTGTTTTTTCAAATCAGCTGCTCTTCATTTTTCCTGCTATATTTGACGAGTGATACAAATATTTTTTACCACAAGTTCTTAAGAAAACTGACACTGTTGGACTCGGTACTAGTTTGACTTTTACCTGAAATAAAATGAATTACTTTTACTGTGTACTTTGTGAGTAATCCTCTGTCAAAGTCCCCTCCATAGTAGGCTACATAATGCATGTTTTCCTGCTATCTTTGATGAGTGATACAAATAACATTTTACCATTAGTTCTTAATAAAATTGATACTGTTTGACTTTATATTACATTACATGTCACTTGTTCGACGCTTTTATCCAAAGCGACTTACATACTCAATACTGTGGACAATCCCCACAGTATTGGGGCTTCGCGTCGGGCCGAACCACGCCCTCTAACTGTGATATAATGACCATATACCACGGCCTGTCGTGAGCTATTGCTTTTGTAAAACGGTTACCAAGTGTGGCAATATGAAAGAAAAATACACACTCTAATTTAAATAGTTGTTAGTAAATAATGATGTTCAAAATAAAACAGTCCCTCCGTTGCCTTCTGCACAAAACAGTGCGAGGTGGTTGCTATGCAACAACACTAACAGCTAGCGAACATATTAGACAGAGAGCGTTGATCCATTATTTGGCTATTTATTTACATTCATTTGTATGTTGCCGTTTATTGTGCACCCACTGAAAAACTGTCCAGCATCAGTAGCATGGCTTACGTGGTTACTTGTATAGGCTGAGGTTGTTCTAGGCTGTTGCTTGGCGTGGCGAGAATATTGCTCCACTTTCTCCGGTCCCCGAGATTCGGCTTCCAGTAGCTCTGGAGAGAGCTTTCGCACCTGTGGCCACTAACGGTCATCATTTCTCTGCTTTGTTTCAAGACCCGCATCAGAAAGCTTTTGAATGGTGATACTTTTCCAGTTGGTCTACCTGCTCTTCACGTAGCTCTACATGTCGTCGTTTAGGTGCTTTTTGCTCTGGAGATAGGCACTGCTCAATCCACTCCTCCATAGTAAGACCACCCCGGAGGTCAAAGTTAAGTAAGGGATAATGTGCAGCGAGGCGGTCATTATGGGTAAAAGAACACCCGACAGGCAGATCAAAAATAGTCCGTTGTTACTGTTTGAACTACGTAGCAACGGCAGGAACTGCTTCGATAGCGTTTTTACGGACCTTTTTGATTACAGATTTGAAAACATCGCTGCTTGCTTTAAAAGTAGCACAATTCATTATGTCAAACCTTGGAAAGTATCTAGATATCCCTGCCCTAATGCCAAAGTAACTGGCAACTGAATATGTTTTGCCGTTTGATGTCTATGTCTGGACCGTTGCGTAAAAAGGAGGTCTGTCCCGTTACTTCTCCGCTGTTTTCTTGTCCCAGTTTGAAAAGCAAACTGCATGCAGTTTGCTTTTCAGCCCAACTGTATACAGTTAAATCGACCGGACTTCTTTCTGCAGATGTGAGCGTCCTTAACAACGGTCAATAAGTCCTTGCTGCACATTATCCCTTACATGTTTCCATCTTAAGCTTTGTTAGTTAGTTAGTTTCATAACGGACGTAATGTAACAGTTGTAACGGTTGTAGCTTTTCTCAGACGTGGAGGGATACTGACTTGTTTTGAAAAGTAACTACAATTCTACCCGTGATATACGCTCATTATATCACGGCTAAGAACCAATCAGATTGCTTGATTTGACTTGTCCGTTTTATAATGACCATTAACACACCCTCTAAATTGTTTCAGTTGTCATGGATTTGAAGTCTGAAAAAAATAACGTGTCTAATAACTAGGTTTTTAGAAGACAATTTATAAAAGCTACTGGCAACAGCCCTACTGTATCATTCTATCATTTTCGGTGTTATTCACAATATTGGAGGGATTGATGATTTTTCATTGAACAATAAATAAGTATGAGTAACTGTATCAAAGAAACTAGTTGTTTTTTTGGGGAGTTTTTTCACTTTTATTGTCATTACGTAGTACAGGTATATGTAAGGAAATGGTTTCTCTGCATTTGACCCATGCTAGTGTTAGGAGCAGTGGGCTGCCATTATGAACGGCACCCAGGGAGCAGTGTAGGGAACGGTGCCTTGCTCAGGGACTGATTAAGTCTGTAGTAAAGAATTTGTAGACTGCAGCTCAGCAATACTTCATTCAAAATGGTATTTTAACATATATTTCAACATCAATTTGTACACAAGGGGATGCTTATCTGGACAGCTGGACAACCAGATCAATCTGTTTAGGTTTTTAAATAGAATGTCTAAACATTGAAAAATCGACAGCTTCTGATAATCTCAACCGATCCACACTCTGAATGACTGACGGTGATATTTGTTTCAGCTGAATCTGTTTGTCCTAGTTCATATGACAGATGTTAATCTTTGGTTGTGTTTAATGTTTGTCCTGATGTGTTGTCCCTGACAGTCCACTCCTCTCCGTCCTCAGACACCAGCAGTGCAGCTCAGCGGCGCACAGTAAGTGGTGTGATGAGCAGAGGAACCAGGGGGGGGGAGGATGGAGGCGCGCACGCTGCTCAGCCGCAGAGGTGACCACATACAACTGTCCTTTCAGTGTCAGAGAGATGATGTAGTGGTGCAGGAATGAGTCCTAACTCCAGAAATGAGTCAGCATTTCAGCACCTCCCGCTCTTTCGTCTTCAAGTCAACAGTTTTTTGAATGTGTTTTTGGTTAGAAGCCTTTGAATAATGTCTGTTAACACGAGCTGAAGAGATTTTCATGTTTTGTTTTACGGCATAGAATATGTCAGTAAATACACACTGGTGAATGTCAGAAGCTTTTTTGTGTCCTTTTAAAGACGGTTGCTAACAAGTGTCTAAATTAGACTACTAAACGTCATTACGCTGAACATTAGCCACTTTTATCTTAGCGGTGGAGACGTAAGGTGGTTGTTATAACGTAATGATGATCTTTTTATTTCTGTTGATTGACTTTATACTTTCAAAATCATGAAGTGTTATTAATGTGTGGACATTATATTGCTGAACAAAATGTGAAAATATAAAACGTTTTTTTGGCAAAAATCTTAATTTCTGCAATATTATAAATTCTTTAGAAGAATCCCTCGGCTTCTTGTTGAGGGAGCCCTTGTGATGCTAACTCAAAAATACGTCATCCCTTGAGCACTCTGTTAAGACCTGATGTGGAACATGTTCAAAATAACCTCCAGTCACTCTGGGGAATGATAAAGCTGTTTATTGAAGTGCAATAAGCAGAGAGCAGCATAAACATGGGGATAGATCACAAACAGATATGATCACATGGAATCTGTCGTTGTTTCTAATGCTTTCTCCTCACATTTGTTTTCAGGCACTTTCTTTCGAGGAGGAAGGGGAGGGGCCATGGGCAGAGGGGGCTTGGCCTGATGATGATGATGATCCAGTTCAGTTGTGTTTATTCTTGATTATTTTGTTAGTATCTTCATGTTGCTCTGTAGACTGTTAATAAACTTGTAATAATAAAGCTGAATAATGATAAGCAGTGATGTGGTGTTTGTAATCAGTGGAACGTTTTAAAGAATGACGCAGCTCTTCAAATTTGTAAGGAATATTAGTTACATTGGAACATTATAGTTACCACTTCTGGGGATTGAAATCATGATATGAATGTACTACAATAATAGTACATGATACATTTAGTGCTTTGAAAATATTGTGGTTATAATACCAGAGCAGGACGTCAGGATGTCAGGGACAGCGCAGCCACACTCTGATGGAGTTAGCTGGGGGGGGCGTGTTAGCATTCTGATCGGCCATGTTGGTGAAGTCGCTGTACACAACAGGGCTGAGGATTGGCGGGGGGGGCCGGGGCTGCGGGGGGGGGGAGGTGTGGTCAGCACCAGCAGGTCCCCTGAGATGTGGACGCTGAAGAAGAGAGCTGCAGAGAGAGAGGATTATCATCACTTCACACACTGGACGAGTCAGAGCTGTCACAGATGGAAAGGTCCAACATGGAAATAGTTAAGAGTTTGTGACCATTATGTCAAATATATCGGGAAGAAGAACTGACTCCAAGCAGGAACATGTCTCCTGGTATATCATTTTATGTTATATTATTATTACTCATGAAAAGAAGGGTTTAACTCTTATCGTTATTTGGGGTAGAGCTCACATTGAACTGTTTTCTCCAAGACTAATCCAAAGATCCCTTGGTTTTTGAACATTCTGAAAATAGTGAGAGATTCCGGCCAATCACCTGAGACCATCAGAGTTTGTTCAATCCAAACTTCAACCTAATAACGTATACATTAAGATAAGCCAAGCTGCACATCTGCACAGAGAGAAGCTGGAACCTTGAAACGTGTCTACAGGAAGAATGACTCCAACCATCAGAATATCTGCTGATCCTTCTTCTGTCTGCTGGCTGATGGAATAAAAACGGTGAAGCCTCTAAAGCTGTCAGATACATGTATTGGAGTAAAAAGTACAATATCTGCCTCAGGTGAAGAAGTAGAACGTGGCATGAAAAGAAAAAACTGAAGTAAAATACAAGTATCTTCAAACTGTACTTTAGTGCAGTACTGACCTCAGCACATACACGATCAGCCTCAGAGACATTTCTATCACTACTGGTGTTTAAAACTGCTTTAAAACACCACATAGTCAGCAGTGTGGTAGTTTCATCTTTTATATTATTCTTAAATGGAGCTGTCACAAAACCCAAGATCCCCTGGGGATGGTCAACTATTTCTCTGCTTTAGTGAGAATAGTGAGTGTGTAACAGGCGGGTTCTTACGTCCAGAGAAGACGTAGTGCTCGAACAGCCCCCCCCTCTGAGGGCGGGACAGGGCGGAGGTGACGGGGGAGGGGAACCCCTTCAGAGACACTCTGATGTTGACCTCTGCCCCCAGAAGACCTGATGAGAGAAATAAGATCATCATTTAATGCATGCCCTCTCTGACTGTCATTTGAGGGACCAGC